GCCCCCTTCATTCCCCCCTTGTGTTTCATCCATTGCCCCCTCGAGCTTCCTTTATCCCCTGCGGTGCAAGGTACCAACCGACTGGAAGAGCAGCGGGAAATGGAGCGGCAAGAAAAGCATTTGCCTCCAGTTCCTTGACGCAGGTCGTGCCGCCCTCACAGGTTCCAGTCACAGGTCGTGCCGCCCTATTTTTTTGCGGTCCGGATGCGTTGTCCGGTGGCTTCTTTCGGACCTTAATACGTAAAAGATCTTCTGGTATGGTTGACGTCTTTGGACCAAATTTATAGGCATCGAATGATACATTTCCGCGAATTGGTCCGGTCATAGATCCTTTTGAGAAGAGACCTTTGCTCCGACGTCTCGGGCTCCCCCCGACCCGAAGACATCTCCCACGAGGAAAACACGAGTCGCACACACCGAAGACTCGACTCCTTCGACCTCCCTGCGATCCGAGGAAATCCACGACCCCATCGACGCGGCAGCGCGGGAAGTTCGACAGAAGCAGGCGAGGCCGTGGTGCCGAGAGAGTCCGTGTTGCGTCGTGTTGCGTCGTTGCTCGGTTTCGGTTGGAGATGTTTTTGGACCAAGTCCTCAGCGTTCTCTTTTTCTCATGGTTTCAAATTGACAAGAGTCAAGGAGCCCCAAGATGTCCCAACTCGTGTGCATGGCTGCATGAAAGTTTGGTTGAAGTGCACTGGCCTTGGTCGTGGGTCAACAATATTCAACAATGCACAACTGGACCAAGGACGATTCCATAGCGCATAGTGTGTTTAACATGGTTTCATTGCCACTTGCCCACTTCTATGCTGCTGATCTCCTCTAACTGTCTAGGCACTTGCTCGGAAAGAGAAAAACGTATGCTGCTGAAGCTCTACTGAACTCTCAGCATGCTTAGCTCAGTGTGGTCTGTGGGCACAATGCCCCACAGACAGAGTGCTGTACAAAGATCATGTGCTGCGGCGATAGCCATGATCCCAACGAGGCTCTCGTTGGCCGAAGTGGATCGACAGAACCTCGTCGATCTGGTTGGCCACTGGTGATGGGGATCAGTTTGCATTGAGCAATCCTGAACCCCATGGTGCCAGTGATGTTCCTTTTCTAGGTCTCAGTTTGCGCTGCAAAGCTTGGCTATACCTGGGGAAAAAAGGCTTTCATGTTGTTTCCTTTTTTTGGCCAGGTGAATTTGTGCCCTCCCCCAAACAGCACATGTGTTCCAATGTGTTCCATTCTGTTCCATGGTGTTTCCCAAAAGGAATCAAATTTCCTAGGGCTCCAACTACCTACTGAGAAGATGGTTATGGTGGGTTTGTGGGGTCTAACCACCTTCTGAGGATATGGGCCAGGAGCCCTAGGCATCATGAACGCAGCCGCGTTCACATGTCCTGCTTCATCTGGCGGCGCTGGCTTCATTTGTGGCTTTTAGTCGTCCCAGCCTGGTCAGCTGGGTGAAGTAGCAGACCATGCAGGACATTCAGGCCATGGCGGCAATATATGGCGATGATCCGTTAGTCAGTTGAATTGGGATGAGAGAGAGAGAGAGAGACAGAGAGAGATAGAGAGAGAGAGAGAGTGGCATTCACTAAAGCTAGCAACTTAAACTGGTGGCTGTTTTGAATCATCAACGCATCAATTCACTGTCCTGAGGCGTATTCTTAGACCCTTACAATCCTTTTGGTTATAGAAGGGATGTCTAAGCAAACCAGACCACTCAAATGGTTAAACCCTCAACAAAGGATCTATGCACAGCCAAGAATCATATATGTAAAATATTATGTACACGTCATTCTTTCCAAGGTGATTTCCCATGTCCCTCGCAGTTCTCCAGCCCGAAGGTGCCCGAAGGTGCCCACCGCAGATCGTTCGCCGCCGTCGGAGCTGCGGAGAGGCGCGGCACTTCCAGCAGCTCTTGGCCGAGCAGAGCGAACGCCACGCCACGGAGCTGCGGAGGCGGTGGGGTTGAACCACGACGGAGGAGGACGAGGAGGAGGTTTCTTTTTGAAAAAGAATCACATCTGCAAGAGATGGGAGAATTCCATGGCAATCAAGGGAAAGAGGGGAGAGAGTGAGAAGAAGAGAAGGATTTTTCCAGCCATACGTATACCATATACAGATGTACAGATGTATATACAGTATGTTTTGGTCGTGTTGTGACACGCTGCAAGAAGTGCTATAGACGCCGACCGTGTCCCGCACCCGTCGACCTCGTCGTTCCCAGGCTCAACGAGGAGGTGCCGGGCCGACGCCCGGAACCGGCGTCGTTGGCCGGCGCCGGTGCATGCTTTGGTTGAAAAGGAGACTATACCAGGACCCACACCAAGTAGAGGTGTCTATAAATAACCTCTTAGAGGCTAAGAGGTGTCCAAAAACCACCGGACTTGGAAGGTCCTGGTAGATAATATATAGGTGGGTCAATTGACTGGAACCAGCCGACTTCATGGGCGACAGCAAACAAACAGGTCTACACGATGGGCGGAAGATGGACCCTGCGGCAGAGGAAGAGAACCAGGAAAAATGTAAAACAGAATGTGGCATCTATACCAGCACCTTCAAAGGGGTCACCAATGGAAGCCCTACACTACTAAGGGACCTCCATTGGAAACCTCTTTGAAGGTGCTGGTATAATGTTGCATATGCCAGGTGTGTTTTGTGATGTTTTGTGTATCCACTGGGGGAGGAACTCAACCAGGATCCACTCGGATGGACGCAGGTGAAGCGTCTACATGAGAGACTCAAAGCAGTCCTCGATCGCGCGGAAGCCCAGAGTTCTACTGGCTGTGTTCCACTCGATGTTCCATTGGCTTGGCGGTCTCGTGCGGCGGTTGTGTTTTGCAGTTTTCTTGAGCAACCATCCACTGGGAGTCAACATCCGTTGGGATCCACCTCTCTACGAGTAGATCCACCTCTTTTTCTGGTATCTTGAGTGTTCATATATATATATATACTATACGTGCATGGCTCAGTTGTAGTGAGTATCATGGCAAGGGCATGGCCATGATCCCTACCCAGACCATGTATCTATGAATCATATATGGAATATACAAAGCGACATGTATTTACAATTGAGCCCCAAAACCACTCCAGATGGATGGTCAACCATGTCATCCATGGATGGGTCTGGGCTGGTATGGCCACACCTGGACCTTCTCCCCATCGGGACACTCCACGACCACGCTCAGGGCGCTCCACGCAACAAGGGCCGGCAAAAGGCTTGCTGCTCAGAGGTTTGGATTGAACATGAGACTGACTCCCACAACCGCCACAACCGCCACAACCAACAACAACAACAAACAAACAAACAAACAAACAAACAAACAAACAAACAAACAACAACAAACAATAACAAACAACAACAATCAACAACAAATAACAACAATCAACAAACAACAAACAACAACCAACAAACAACAAACAACACACAACACACAACACACAACAGCAAACAACAAACAAAAAAC